GTAAAGTGGGCGTGAAGGCCACTCACTTTGTGAATTCAAGTTCAAATGGTCTGAATGCTGGAGCTCTCTGAACAATTTAGAGCATGAGTTTGTGGCTGTGCATTGCTCTCGGAGTTGCAGTGTACAGCTGACTTAGCAACAGCAACCCTGTTATGAAAGGTCACAGCAGCTCCGTGGCCAAATGAGGTTTCTGAGCCTAAAGCAGAGGCAGTAGATTCTTCTAACCCCTGCCTGATGCTCGAAATGTCAAAGCGCCACGGCGACTGAAACACAAATTCAACCATTCTCACATGATTCCTATTGTGTAACAGGAGCATTGTGAGTGTAACAAACCCACAACTGCCGCTGATTGTTCGCTGTCATTCAATTGTCGCAGCTGAAGTCGATCTGGCGCTCTTGTTTGTTAATCTGGTAGTTTTTCTTAGTTTGTTTCTTGGTAACTAAATAAAGGCAGCCGTTATGTCACACCACTCATGGACACTTGAACCGGGTGGAACGAGCCCATAACACGGAGCTGCTGAGAGGATCGACTCACCTGGCGAGTACAAATTGGCCAATTCTCGGGCACCGGCGTGTTGTGAACCCCATCTTGCCGCGCCCCGTCCCGGTCCCTGCGGCTCTGGGCTCTGTGTTTCTACTCCACACCCGTTCTCGTTAACCATACTCGCCATTTCTCGGCTGTGGGCCCGGCCCCTTCAATCTCTCTACTCTCAGTCAGGAACCAACGGAATCATCAACTTCTCAGCCCACAGCCAGCGTAGCGTTTTCAACCAATCAGGTGCAAGTTGGTGAGCGCAGCAGCCAATCACCGCTAGGTGAAACGTTCCACAGACGGCCTATTGACCAATAGGGATGAGGGGTTGCGAAGGGGGAAAGACCGCATTTCCTGACCCCACCCGTCCTGTCTGGTGCCCGCTCTGCTCTCAGCCCTCTGCTGGAGGTACAGCAGATAGGAGACGCTTCAAAAGCCGAGCAGGTGTTACAGCGACATCTGTCACCCGTGTCATTTCGTGACCCTTCGCCAGTGGAAAAGGCTGCTAACGTATTGTCAGGTGAGGCGTCAATGGCAGTAACTGCATTAGAAAAGGCGACTTTATGCAACTTTTAAAATAATAAATATCACATTATCCACCCTATAAACTCAAAGTTGGGTTCATAAGAAACAAAACACACCTTTCTTCAACTCGTTACACTTAAGTTTTTACTACAGACGTATTTCTGTGTGTGTTGTTGTTGCTAATTTCGGCTAAGTTATGTAGGCTAATCTTAGCAAGCTACATCAACATCTTTGTGGAAGTGACATTACTGAACATTTCACATCTGTGTCTTCTGCTACACTCTCAGACTGTATTAAACGATTCTCTTTTTTATGCGCAGTCTATGGCTGTGCTACATTTTTCTTAATTGCCACTTGTTGCTTCGCTTGCTGAAAACACTCCAAGTAGCCTAGCAGTCCTGCAGTGTAACCAGAAAAAATGAAACTAAAATAAGTGTAGTCAAGTCAGTTTTATTTTAACACATTTTGTTCACCGGTCTGCTTTACAATAAACATAGACAGAAAAGATAGCAAACACATAAATATTAAACAGCACTAAAATGATTATTCAGCCACCCATACAGCACACACACAGGCAAGCATTAAGTTCAATATTTACTTCAGTGTTCACACATGGATTATAACCGATATGCTCGCACACTGCATGGTGAAAACACATCCTACACGTTCAACAGAATGGCCTCTGTCACGGTGTTATTTACCACTGGTTGATATATTTATGTAACTACTCCAAGTACAAAGTAGCATAAAATGCACAAACCCAAATTTTATTACCTCCAGCTTGCACAGTGCTTGAATCTGTGAGGTATTGTGCAAAAGGTTTAATCACCAGTGATGATGTTCCCAAAGTAATGCTGCAATTAGTCTGTATTTATCAATTAGCTTCATAAAAGTGCTGGAAACAAACACTAAAAATGAATAAAATTACTATGTGCTTTAAATCAGCACCAGTTTTCCTCAGTACAACCATGCACAGTTTTTCAAGGTACAGTTTTTTCAAGCATCTTGGAGAGCATGGAACAGTTCTTCTGTAGATTTTAGTTTTCTCTTCATGTTGATCACAGACTGAGATCAGGCTGTTGAGATCATGGCTCTGTGGTGGCCATAACATCAACTGCAGGATCCTTTGTTCTGCTTGTTGCTGAACACAAAGGTTTTTGACTCTGACTGTATCTTTGTTGTTGTTGTTGTTGTTGTCGTCATGCTGCTTGAAGGATCAGAACCTCACAACTTTGTTTTCATGCTGCAGATTGAATTTGGAATGATTATACATCTCCCTGATGGTATTGCATTGATAGATAACAGAGTTTTTCCTAGTTCAGAATGGGCCTTTGAGCTGTGGCTGTGCACAACGGTCATGATTGGTCAATATAAAGTCTTTGAGTCTGTGTTACCTCATTCGACATTTGACAGAAATCTGTGCAGTTTGCTGTTATTTTTAGACATTTGATTAGCAGAAATGTCTATCAGGCTCAAGTAAGTGAAACCTCAGCTAACAAAATTGGTTTTAAATTTAAATTGCTGGTTTTATTTTTGTGCTGGTGATTTTCCTTCAGTGTGGCCTAAAACCACTTTTGGGAGTACTAAAAACCTAAATACCATGGTGCCGTAAAGCATACTAAAACCTTTGCAGAGGTACTTGGTTACTTTCCACCAGTGGTTGATACCAACATAACGTCTGTTTTTAAAAAGTTTAACAAGTTTTATTTTTTTAACCTTTATCCAACAAATATTTTCATACAGATTATGAATCTGCAAAGTAACTAATAGCTGATTGCCAATTAATCATAGCATAGCGAAAAGTGTGGAAAAGCAAAAGTTAGAAATACTAATGTGAAGTACAAGAGCCTCAAAACTGTGCTTAATGACAGTATCATACAATATTATTGTAAACACACGGTGCGATATTGTACTCACGTATATTATTATAATAAATATACTTTACACTTCTGCTGCTGATGCAACACTATACTGTACTTTCCTATGCAACTCAGTATTTCCATGTTATGCCACTTTAAACTTAGTCTCTACATTTTTAAAGGTAAATATTGTACTTTTTAGTCGTACTTGATTGCCAGTTAGTTTTCAGATTTACCCTTATGCACATATAAAACATGCCCTCTTACATGTTATGTCCATGATTTAACTATAAAGCAATTTATAAAGTAGTTTTTAATAAGTGTTAAGGCATTAGTGATAATAAAACAAAAAATAACTATTCTATTTTGCATTTTGATAGTTTTATGTTAAGGACCTAAGTAATTTAAAATGTGCATCCAAGTCTGGATTACCTACCTGGCAAAGCAGGCAACTGACCTCCAGGAGTCTCAAAAGTCCCACGTTCTCGATGAGCCAACTGATTTTGCTATTTTGATTAATAAGACATTTATTAGGAAATTTGCCCTGTGGAAGGTAATAAATCATTTTGACTTGTCCTGCAGATGTGCTTTGTGTCAGACTGTAGTTTGAAGATTTTTAGTATTTATGTCAGGTGAGGTTATCCCAGCACTGGTTAGATTTTGTGTATATAATACAGCCAACTTGTTTCACTTTACTTGGATGATTGAGGTGACAGGACACATGGACGCTGGATTGGGAGAGGATTGTTCAGGGGGGCTCTGTTAGGAAAGTTACACCAAACATGTAAGTCCAACCTTGTGTGTTTCTTATCTGGAAAGCCACCATTTTGGGCTACAACAGATCGTCTTTAACCCCCCCAAAAAAAGAAACAAATGCATCCGAATTAAGTCACAGAATAAAGTGTAACTAGGAAGCATGCATGTGCTGGTGATCCATGAGATAAATGTGTATGTTTCTGTGAAAATTAAGAGATGTTTTGAAACAGTGATGTGTATCTGACTGAACACCAGTGAAACTGTTGTGTAGAGAAACACCAACCCCAAACCTTCATATGGATTCATGCTGTAATCCTACAGCTCCCCACGAGGTGGCACTCACGCCTAATCTGGAATTTTATTCTGTAGATTTCTTACGTTTCTTTTCTTCCTTTTGGGGGAGTTTTTCCTTATCAAACTCGAGGGTGTATGAACACAGAGTGCTGTGTGCTGTAAAGCAATTTTATGATCTGTGATATTGGACCATAACAGTAAAACTGACTTCAGCTCATATTAAATTCAAATCATTCAGCTCTGATTACAAAATGTGTCAAGAGCTGAGAGTCTTGTTATGAAACCTGTATGCATTTAGGCTCACGAGACCTCTTGAGCACACACACACACACACACATGTATATATATGTCTGTATCTGAGCAATGTGACTCCAAGATGTGATCGAACTCACTGTGTCCGGTTCGTGGCCTGTGTTTGTTTTAGACATAAGCCAGACTGGTTGCACCCTGACTCTTACACAGTATTGGAGTAGATGCATCATCTTGTGGGCTACAGGTCCTCCTCACAACAACATACAGACTGGTTCAAACTAGTCAGTGAACGTGTCGGGAGAACATCTGTGTGGAGATATATGCAGGACTGCTTTATTGAGCAGCATTATGAGATGATTACGCACGAACTTAGAAAACAGTAAACATGTTGCCACTGAGTGGGACTTTTCCATTATTGTCGAGTTGATGAGATGTGACTGCAGAGGGCGTGAACGAACGTTCTGTCAACAACAAGCTGCTGGTTAAAAATATTCACCACATTTTGTTTGACGGCACTGTGGCTGCAGTGTTTCACTTTTTGTTCGCTCGGTTTTATTTTTATGACGGGTCAATGGAGGTATATTTCCACTCGACGGGCTGCAGCCACAACTGGCCATAATTATTATACAACTGTTAGATCAAGTTGGTATTTTATGATGTTCAAACACAGATAGTTGAACGCCTGAGAGGTCCTCTGAAGCAGGACAGGTTGTCCGGTTGGCTGCGCGCTGCGCGTCACTCACCTGCCCAGATAGAGCCCGCCCCCCGCTCCACATAAAACCCCCCGAGACAGGAAGACCTGTCAATTCCTCCCAATCCATGAGCACAGCCTCTTCAAAGTAGTTTGTTCTGCGTGTTGTCACAGGCAGTGACACAGGAGGTTTAAACTCACCACATTCCGACACATTTCACAACTGAGGCAACTCAACCCAAACCAGCCAGGGCGTCTCATCTCAGCCCTCCATGCTCCTGCAATCCGGGGGGTGTTAGATCCATGGAAGTGGCCGGTTTCTACGACGAGGGCAGCTTTGCTATCCACAACAGAGACAGCATTATCAGTCCAATTGGCGGCGGCGGCGGCGGCTCATACTGGAGGCTCGGAGACTCGATGACGGAGCTGGGCATTGAGGAGCGGGAGAGAGCGATAGACTTCAGCGTTTACCTGGATTCAGCTTTGCACTGTCCGCAGCTGGCGGCGCAGACGCAGCAGCAGGGGGACGTTTTCTCAGATTTCCTGGCGGAGAACAAGAGCAAAAGAGTTGCAGCTTTACACAACTACAAGACCTACTCGCTGCTGAACGAGCTGGAGACGAGTCAGTGCGACAACTTGAGGGACCCCAGGGAGCCCTACGCGCTGGGTTACACCGAGCTGCAGGAGACCCGGGTGGATAGTGTGCTCAGCCCTGAACTCGTCGGGAGCCGCTACAGAGCTGTTGCTGCTGCTGCTGCTGCCGCCGCCGAGAGAGACGACAGTCAGGAAGACGCAAAGATGGAGAACGGGTCGTCTGGGTTTGACATGAGGTCTTACCTTCACTACCAGTCCACCAGCGGCAGTCTGGGAAACATCTCCACTGCGTCCTCGACCTGCTCCAGCCCGCCCGGCACACCTGCTCCGTCAGGTAAGAGCAGGTCGCCGTCGCACGGCGGCAAAATGTCAAGCGGGAAGTCAAAGAAACGCCTGGACAAGGACAGTGAAGAGTACCGACTGAGGCGGGAGAGGAACAACCTCGCCGTGAGGAAGAGCAGGGACAAAGCCAAAATGCGCAACTTGGAGACTCAACATAAAGTGCTGGAACTGGCTGCGGAGAACGATCGTTTACAAAAGCGCGTTGAGCAGCTGTCCAGAGAGCTGGCCACCCTGCGCAACCTGCTCTCTGCCACCGGGCAATGTTAGAACAAACCTCCGCACGGCTCTCCGGGCTGCTCGTCTAATCATTGATGGACTTTGGAGGTGATCCACTGTGCTGAACGCGGTACGCTTCACAGGTGAAGACAGCGACCACCAGTTTACAAGGACACTTTGAATGGGACTGAAGTAGTGGGTGCATGGATTGCGCAATCATTCACGACTCTTCACATGCCACCGTAGCTTTATTCTCAGATGTAATTTTTTGGTGTTATGCAGTATTTCTGTGCAGGTTTTACATACATGCGAGTGAATTTCTACATTTTTGTGTATCTGGAGCAATGGTTGTCAAGGGAAGAGTTGTGCTGCAGTGAAATGATGCAACTCTTTGTAATAGTATTGGCAATGAATGAAATAAGTCTAATTATTTAATATTAAAAGGTGAAATGCTTTAATTGTACTTGATATTTTATTGAATTAAACAGATTTATACTTTGTTTAAACAATTTCATTCGTAATTTCTTCTTTTCTGTCCTTTTGAAGCAGCTGAAGGCTCAGACAGGCAGACAGACAGACAGACAGACAGACAGACAGACAGACAGGGCGTTATGCTTGCCTAATATTCACACTCATGATAGAATGTGTAATACCATGTTTTTCAATTGCAGCATATTGCAGAAAAGGAATCGGCTTGGCAATAAGGCAAATTTGTAATCTCTTAATGCATGCTAAGACTGTAAAGACACAGCACACTGCAGGAATCCGGTTCCTTTATGGAGAATTTTGTAAACCCAGTCATCACCAGTAAGGCTACAGACGTTTGAACATTGTGTCTCGGATCACCTTTGTCACAATTTCTCATAAGTATTTGCTAATTTGTGTAACCCCAAAGCAGAAAATGGCATCCAGTTGTTTGATTATCATAGTTACACAACATCGCCAGATGAGGAATATTAAATGAGGACTGATATGTGAAACTGCTTTTCATTTGAATCAAATACAATAGAAAAGTGAGGTGATTCCTTAAAAATCAGATGTTTGTATCTAACCCAAAAAAAAGCAAGAAACAGGCTGTCCTCACTACAACGCTTCATACCAGCGCCATTTTCGTGTCTCTGTTTACTTAATGATTTGACACAAAGTCCTCAGACCCTGAAATACATCCAACCAAGTTATGCTGAAATGATACTGCTGAGAGCAGCAAAAAAAAAAAAAAAAAAAAGACTTGGTCACACTGCAGGCAGCACAGAAATGTTAGTTTTATCTTTAGCACACGGCTCTGTCAATAGTCTGCTGGGTCCACTGGCCCAGAGAGGGGTTCAAGGTTGCATGGAAATTAATCAGCAACTAACCTCCTCACACTAGCTCAGGTCACGCTTCAACAGCCCAGGGAGTGAGTGCAGGCGAGATATGTACAATCCTGAGCAAACCTCGTTTAACTCTCAAGTGGAAGACGTTCGGTGCAAAATGTAGAAGCAGAAAATGGGAGTGACAAAGTAGGTTGCAGCAGACATGGTAGATAAGTTGACAAATGGTTGGCAGTGGAATTTACCAAGCCCTCAGACGGCTTTTCACTGTGTGCACAATATGAACCGTATCTGTCACAAGCAAGCAAACCCCAGACAGAGCAGATAAAGAAAAAGGGAGCACGGTGGGATTTGTAGGTGATCCATGACGATTCAGGGTGGGGAACATTTTTCCAGCTCACACCTCAAACTGCAGAGAAAAAGAAAAAAGGAAAAAAAAACCCACCTCTGCTAGTTTATCAAGAAATGGCAGATTTTGTATATTGGCGTTGAAAAGCCACGCTATGTACTCTCAATGAACCATGAAAACTGTGTGATGCTTGTTTGGTGCAGCAAGAGATGACATTTTGGATATTTCAACACACTCAATGATGGAACAGTTTAGCTTTTAACAGTTGTGCAATATCCTCCCTTTTCCAACACATGACCACTTGAAGAATGCAACACCCACATTTAAATAAGACATTGTTATCCCCCATGTGCATGACAATAGCTGTGTGTAGTTGTGGCTTTGGCTTTAGGCCTTACTGGGTACAAAGTGGTGTGAATAACATTCGTCATTTTCAGCAGCTTTTTAATTTCTTTATTTTTTTTTTAAAATTCAACTTAATACAAGCACAGGAACAAAGTAGTATATCAGAAAAGTGCTTCACTGTTATGACTGTTGCTGTCACTGTCAGCGTTGGCACAAAACTCACTGAAACATTCTAGGAATTCCTTCTTCGATGACCCCTCGTTTCCTATTGGAGCCCCACGCAGTCATTCCCTGCTCCTGGCTCACATGCTGACAGGCGAGAGGGAAATTCCCACACAGGATGACCTCTTTTCTTCAGAGTTTAGTCCGGCCCCCTTTCCACATTTTACCGTCAATGGGCAGTGTCTGTCCGTAAACTCCTTGTTGCATCACAGCCCCTCCAACTGGTCTCCTAAAAACTCCTATGATAAAGCAACACACACACACACACACACACACACACACACACACACACACACACCTGTCTTCCCACCGTCCTCTCTGTACCAGTTCTTGTGAAATGGAAGAAATTTTTTTGCACCTCTGAGTCATGCTACTGTTGTTTGTTCCTCAGAAACACTTTCCTTACGTAGTTGTAACAGATTGCATTTCCCAAAAGAATGAAAAGAAAAAGACAAATGCTGAACACGCAAGCTGGTGTTATTTAACACTTCTAATAGTTTAATTTGGCTTTGCTTCAAGTTTTCCAGCTTGTTTATTTTGACAGTGTCTCAGCTGGCAACACACACTGTGTTGCTGTTTTTCATCATAAAAACAGAACCTGCAGAAGGCTGTAAATGTACATTTGTATCATGAACATGGAGCCAAAAATACTGAGCAGGTTGGGCTTCGCAATATATCATTTCAGCAGAAATATCCACATGTGCATGTTATAGTCACATCACATGAAGTTAACTCAGAACACATCAGTTTTACAACTTTTGTTTTTGTTTGCACAGTTCTCATTTTCAAGGGGAAGCTTGTTTGATAAAACATGATTCATTCCCGTTGAAGATATGTTTGTTGTTGTTTTTGTTTACTCTGTTAACAAGACACTGAGTTTATTAACACGTAGGCTTCATATGTGTACTTAGAGTGAAGAATAAGACAGGGAAGTAGAATATCCTTTATTAGTCCCACAAGAGGACATTTGCAACATCACAACAGCAAAGTGACAGTAGGAAAAACAAGCAAACAACTATAAACTAAAGAGGCGAGGTATATATACTATAAATACACATTATAAATGCGAAAACAGAGGAACACAAGGATACTAAAAGCACAAATTTAAGAATGTTTACATTAATGAATTGCACTATGGTTTATTGCATAATGTGAGTGATTGTGTGGTCTGTTGGGAACAGCGCTTAATGAAAGGTTTGTTGCAAAAAAGAAACGCAAAGTCAGTTGTATGGAAATACTTCAGCTACAGAAAGAGTGATGTTGACTCAAAAGAGTTGCTCTGTTGGCAGCGTCTCGGACTTGTTGCCACCACATGAGGAAACACAACTAATTTGTTTGACCGTTCAAATCAGCACCACAAAGTTCTGTATGATTAGTGCCAAGCCAGATCTGAAAGCCATCCAAAGCCAAAAAAATATTTTGGATGCCTCTGCCAGTGTTACGCCATATGAGAAAGGCTCCAGACAGCTTTTTCATTTTTATTTTTTCTAAGCAGATGCACTCTGCACGCTAAAAAAAATCACCCCAGTTATTCTCTAATTATTTCATCTTTGTGAATAGCAATGTTAAATCATCTGGTGAAATTCATCTTTTCTTTTTTTATCACATTATAGACTGCAGAAAAGCTAAATATGGCCAGGTGCAGTCCCTGTAAGCAGGGCTTTGTTGCATCTCACACAGAGAAGGTAATTTGGGAACATAAAACACATGGTCAGATAAAAGTTGCAACCATTAGCCACCTAATGAACTATTATAGTCACATTTAAGCAAAAATGGACAAATATTTGCTGCTTCTGTCTTCTCACATATGATGATTTAGTCCTTTCTTATTGCAAATGATGGTAAACAGAATATTTCGGGATTATGTGTGGTCGATTAGACAAAACATGACATTTTATGATGTACGTTTGTCTGTGAAGAGCTATTGCTAACGATTATTTTCTTTGTTGACAAATGTGCTATTTTTTCGAAATATCAACAAATTGTTTGCTCAATAAAATGTCAGAAAAATGTCAATCAGTTTCTCCAATCCCAAGAAGATGTCCTCAAATGTCCTGTTTTGTCCTTAACGGAAAGATATTCCAATTTACTGTTATATGAGAGTAAAGAAACCAGATGATATTCAAATTCAGTTCAAACTACTCAAAGTAGTTATCACATGATCTAATCAATTATCAAAATAGTTGTCGATAGTCTGTGGGAAATTCTAATGGGTATGTTTGACTTTTCTCTGGCGTTTTTTAGACAAAAATGCATAATTAAAAACAGTAATCAGCAGCATAATCAATAATGGATAGCCGTCATTTGCAGCATTAATATGGAACTTTGCAATATTTTGCTGCGGCTGGTTCAGCAGATGACTGTTGCTTCATATCAAAAGCAGGATCAACTTTGTCACTTAGTTACAAAACACAAAACAGCACATCACACTGATAAAGTCATGATTATCTTATCTAATTCAGTTGAAATTAGTGGTAAAAACTACTGTTGTCGTAGTTTATTGATGCATCTTAAACCCAAACTGCCTTCGGTTTGTCTCTTGGCATGTTTCTGACCAAACTGCAGAATTCAGACACAAACTTGCTTGTTTCCATTGAAGCCATGAAGCTTTAAAACCAACTAACAACTATGTAGGTTTATTTTTTTTACTTAAAAGGCCAAGTAAATCCCCAAAACAGCAGCTGTAGTTTTTAGTGAATATCACTCAAACGGGGGTAAATTGCATGTTTTGGGGAGTATTTCCTGCTGGAGATTAATGGCAGCAGAATGGTGCATGTCGAACTCACTGATAATGTGTTTAGTGGTAACAGTGGAGCCGCATGAAAGAGAAGTATCGTATGTGAAGACTGGACAACACAGACAGTACTTGTTAGTATGATCAGTTCATTATTGTGTGACCTTTCTGTTGGGATTTGTTCACATTAAGAGGAATGCAATCAGTTACCCTTTACCTAATAATCTGCTTTTTCCTTGTTTTGTCTAAATGTGTCCAGTTTGTTCCTCTACATTTGTGTCTAAAACAGAAACTAACTGAGTGTGCTCGATTTAGTTTCTGTTTTATATACACTGATTACTTTTGCTGTTTTAAGCTGTGGAGAAATTCCAAGTTCTGTTCTGGCTCTGTTTTTGTTTCCTATTTCCTTACTTTTTTTTTCTTCTTTTTGTCTTACATTACCTTCGATCAGATACAAATTTGTTGATTATTTTGAACCCAGCGAGTCTCTCTAAAATGTTTTGTTTTTAAAACTCTGGTCACTGATAGTGGAGCAGGAGTCCACTTTGA